TTCAGCAGCATTTTCTTCTTTTTTAGATATCAATGATGACAAAAACTTCTGGCTTTTTGTCTTCATGGATCTGCATTGCAGAGTAAGTTATTGCCTTGACTTCAGTACCCTGGATGAAACAAGCACAGAAAGATGGATTTTGTAAGTCATAAGCCCTAATAGCCACTCCATGTGAATGCGCACACATACTATTCTTTGGCTCCCTGGGCATGGCAAGTTAGAGAATCCTTCTCCCTGAAGCATAGCTGTACTATATTTGTTCTGATGAGTACAAAAAATGGGACATCACCAAGCAATTGCTCACCTAGACACCAGAACTGCCCAACAGCAAAACAAATAGTTTCTCTGTTCTTCACCATCACTTACTGCACTGCACCAAACCTCTCTCCCAGCTAATGAAGACCACCATAATTTGTTTCTCTTGGGTTAAGGCAGCCATCACAGACTGTTAGCAAAAAGGGGAGCGTGGGAAGGGAGGAGTGGAATGTAATAACACAGATTATATTAGTTTATTACTAATTTTCAATAAAATTCACAGCCCAGTGACTAGTTCTAGCGTACACAGACCAAACTCATGAAAACATTCTGACTTGGGACTGAACTGGCATGTCACTCGTGTCAGAAAAAAAAAAAAAAGACAGAATTGTGACCCATTTCTGCCACTACTTGAGTAATCATACAGATGGTATTCCTAACATTGTTGACTAATAGTCCCATTGACAAACAGCAGCTAGCAAGCAAGGGCTTTGGTATCAGAGGTAACAGAGTTGTATAAGCAGAAAAGTTTAAAATTGGATCTCTGAATAAACTTAGTGGTCCAGTTAAAAAAGAAAAGCCCATATTTTACCCATGAAAACAAATAATAAAAATCATTTGGTACATACCTGAGGATGTTTGGGTAGAGAGAACTCTTCCCCCCACCTTATGTGAGAAAAGAAAAAGAAACTGTTGAAATTCTGGTTTAATTCAGCAAATACTATTATTGGCTTCATTAGCACACATGAAAAACCTGGCATTCCAGCTTTAAGTACTGGAGAAGGAAACAGGAAGTCTCCAAGCACTTCATGGTAAATGCCACACAACTTTAGCCCATCATAGTAAATGTCATCAGTTATCCATTCAAAATGGGGACTACTAATATAGTGTGGGGATAGCCACTCCCACAAGGAGTTAAGCCATTCCTGGCAAAGATACTTAGTATTTGCAACATGCTTTTTAAATGTTAAACCCTTTGTCCCATCATCTAGGCTCCTTAGCAAACTATTTAAAAAGTGAGCTAACTGAATGAATTCAACATCACTTCCTCAAATCATAGACCATACAAGGCCTCAAAGACACAGAAAATAAAAATTGAAGAGACACTAATTTGCTGTTCATAAGTAACTTTTGGAAATCCTGGGATTAATAAATTTTGTCTCCTATCTGCTTCCAGGTTTTTGAAAGTTACTGGTCGAAATGTATTGGGATAGATAATACTTACATCTTGATTTTGCAAACATGAAATGATTCTTCTCCATGATAGCTTTCCTCCCCCGCAAATATGGCCTTTCATAGCATCTGATGAAGTAGATTGTTGTCTACAATAGCTCACACCTCTCTGAACCAGTTACTTTTTAAGGTGTCGCTGTACCCTACCTTCCGCATGACAGCTTCTGTGGTAGATACCAACATTTATATCAAGTGCAACAAGCAGATATTGCCTAGGTTTAAAGTGGGCGCTGGTGGAAGAGTCAACTTCAAACTTGGGTGTTCCCCTAAGTAAGCTATATTGCTTTTAAATCTGTGTGCACACATTTTTTGAGTTTTGCTTTTAACCAGAATGTTCTGCTTACTCACCCAATGGATCTTATTTTGAAACTCATTCGGTCAATGGAAAGCACTTTCACCTCCTGCAGAGAAAGGAACAGGAAAAAATGGCCACAAAAAGCATCTCTCATATAGTTTTATGCCATATGATAATATTCCCATGCAAAGTAGAGACACAAGAAGAGTTCAATCAGCCTCAGAGACATGCTGATGTTTAGATATGCAGAGAACTGCAATTACAATGTAACTGAAGCCATAACTGGTTTGAAAACAGCAAAATTGAGGGTTTACTCCTCCTCCAACTCATGCTTGTGCCCATAATCCCCTATGCATTGGTAGGCCTAAGCAGACCTGTTGGTTTCAGTGTTTTTGCCCCAAGAATGATAAATTTGAGGCAAGTGTTGGAAGTGAATATTCACTGTCCCATATGCTGGAAAAAAATACATACCCTGGGTATGAAGAACTGGTCAGCGCTGAATTTATACAGCCACTCATTCAAGAAGTTATAAAGAAGAGACAGCATGTCATGTCCTGTAGGACAGAAACAGCAAAAGAAGCTCAGTTGGGTGCCCCATTCAGAATTGGGCAAACTTCTTTTTTGTGTACATCAGGGCAGAAGTTCAGTTTTCCTGTTTATTATGGACTTGCATATTCAGATTAGGAAAGAATAACTTTGTTTAATAAACCTGTGCCAATACTACATCCAATAAGCCAGCTATTTCTGAATGAAAGGCAAAGTTAATTTCAACACAATTCTCCTTCAAAGTTTGCACAGTGCCTTTTTACCTTCTATCTCCACTTCTACAGTATCCAAGGGCTCCACGGTCTCTGTATCTGTCATGTAGCCAAACATGGCCATAGCACACTGCTCAAATGCTTCTTCCAAAGTATCTCCCCAGGCATGTAACCTACAGAGACGTAAGAGTTACACCATCATACAGCAGCAACAAAGAGGAGAAAATACAAGTAAGGAATTGGAGTACCATAGTAATATGAGTGGGAAAAGCAGAAAGCACAGAGAAATGTCCCTGCTTAAAGGCACTGAAAGACCCACATTTGTCTACGGTAAGTGCTGAAACACTGAAAGACAATGGAGTTTCTTCTGGAGGAACAATATGGAAAAATATTGAGTATTTTACTAAAAACCATGGCTATCTGAACAGGTGCTGTTGAGAACATGTGTACACGGAACATCTGGAAATAAGAGGTAGCAGAATTACCAAACAATACAGCATCTTTAAATGTGGCATCCATAGGCCCAAAAGGGCCTTGCACCTTATTCTCCTGTCACATCAGATTTTGGCAGTTTGAAAAGAATCAGGCTTATAGTAAAATTCTACTCAAATTCCAGCTGTAAATACTCACTGAACATCAGCCGTGTGATCCAGATCTGAAGGATCAGGAAAAGAGAGAGAGTTAAAAATTGTCAAAATTGTTTAGAAAAACAACACAACTACTTGCAAGAAAATTCAGATCCTGTTTTTATCATGAAAATATTTTGTGCATGTTTTGACACATCTGACCTCATATTAAGAATGTTAATCTGACCTTTAGATAAATATGCTATAAAAAGATCAATGATACCATAATAGGTTTTAAAAGAAAACCACCAAGAGAAACAACCCCTCCATAATAAACCCACCACCTTGTTTCCAGAAAAAGTACCCCAATATATATGTATTTCATACCATTTCTCAATAGATGAAAATGTTAAAGAACTTTCCCAAACTATACAGGCTATGTGGAAGAAACTTAAAGACAGAATTTGAACCCAAAACTCTTGTTCCAGTTTTCTTCTCCTTGAAGTTGGTAACCTTCCCCTGTCCCCCATACTGTAATCAGTGTCACATCAATGTCCACGTAAGATGCCAGAAAACCATTTTAGGTAATTTGTTTTATGGAGCAGCTCACAGAAATTTATTTTCTCAATGAACTTTTGATCCGAATTCCCTTGTGGGGATAAAAGAACAGATGGTGTAATAGGCCTGGCTTTACATGGTATCCCTAATATTGGTAGAATACCCTAAAACCCATCAAACTTGTGTTACTTGGGTTAAGCTGGATATGAAAACTAGCCATTAATTCAAAATGAGTTGCATGCTTATGGGAACAAGCTGTGCAGTGGCAGTGGAAACCAGCATTCTGCAGAATTACTGCCAGATACAGTTGTGCCATAGAAGTACATAATACCCTGAGCTGCAGTGCTGAGCACTTGTTGTCTGCCCTTCAACCAGCAAGAGTTGAGGTGGCTCAGTAACGCACAGGATCAGACCCTACCATACCTTCCTCTTTATAACAGCTCCACACTAAGGCATTATACTTAAGTTTTAAAACAAAATAAGCATTGGTACTTTGTTCTGAGATGACTGGCTGATAAATCAGTGGTGGCAGATGTGATTTGCATAATTAACCAGCTCTTGGATTATAGTTTCTCCAATTAATATTATGTTTTTTAGTATGGTATTATCATTACCCCCTACTGCAAGTCAGTTTTGAGTGATAATACCCTTTTTCATTTAACTCAGCAAGATTTGCTTCCTTCTCTTTTCAGTCTTTCAAAAGAACCTTCCAGCTGCAAAGTAAGGAGTCGCTAACTATTTATGGCAACCCGCCTGAAGGTGCTGAACACACAGGGGCTTCTTTAGGACCCATTGCACAAAGCTAAATGATCTCCATTAAGATAACAAATTAAGCCTCATCAATAAGCTTACCTTACCCACTTACAGACAAGATCCCACAGCACAGTGTGAAGCATAAGGAGTTTTACACATGCTTAGGTCTATCCCCCTCCTCCCAGCCACAGCCATGCCACGGGGATACTCACACTCATACTTCTTATTGACTGGGGGGTACTTGGCTTTGATGGCCTTCTGCTCCTGGTTCAGGTTGTAATCCCGGAAACCATCAGCCATAGCTGTCAGCCCTGCAGCACCCGCTTCCTGCTTTATCCAGACAGCCCCTCCTCGCCTGATCCAGCCCAGACTCACCATGTGATCCTACCCTTTAAAGGCAGAGCTCCCTGCTTGACTAGAGAGCCATAAGGACACCAAGTGGCACTGAAAATAAGTGAGGTTAAATGTGCACCCCTGAATTCTCCAGCCACAAAATCCTTTGCAAGAGTATTTTTTAGCCTGCAAAAACTTACTAGGCAGCAAGTCAATGAAGCTGGAAGAAGTTTTTGACGTGCCTGAAGTTAAGCTTCATTTTCAGGAGCTGCACTACAAATAGCTTACACCTCAAGCTAGTGCCAGGCTTTCCTTTAGTTTAACTTGATTTATTCTGTGCAGCCTCAAGCAGGCTGCTGCTGCTCAAGAAGCAGGAAACTAGCAAAAGAAAAGGAAAACACTTGCGATTTAGACTGTTTGAGGCTGCCACCAGGGGCTGAGCGCTTCGACTGAAAACGAAAGGGGGGGAAACAATGAGCGTATGTGAAATGACATGGTTTCTAGAGTGAATTCCAGTACAAGGAAAAGCTGGTATTTTTTTTAAATCTAAGACTAAATACCAGCAGTTTCTCTGTTTTTTTAAAGATGAGAGTAAGGAATACAATTTGTAAGAAATGTGTAGCCCTGTTCTCAGCGGTGACATGACAGAACAAGGAGCAATGGTCTGATGTTGCAGCAAGGGCGGTTTAGGGTGGATATTAGGAAAAACTCTCACTGGGAGGGTGATGGTGATGAAGCACTTGAATGGGTTACCTAGACAGGTAGTGCAGTCTCCATCCTTGGAGGTTTTCAAAACCCAACTGGACAAAGCCTTGTCTGGGATGGTGTACTTGGAGCTGGTCCTGCTATGAGCAGGGGTTGGACTAGATGCGACCCCCTAAGGACCCCCCAACCCTCATGTTCTATGATACAGTAATTATATTGGGTAGGTTTTCTCCAATGTCCTTCTCCGGAGCCCCTGCGTTGTCTGCTTTATTCTCACACACCTGCAAAATACCGACTCCAGTTGGAAATAATCAGCATCTTTCCTGCTGCAGTGGAGAGCAAGACCAGAGGCTAATTAGCAGCAATCCCAGTTTTATTTAAAAAAAAAAAAATCCCCATTTTTTCAGTTAAATCACAGAAAAATGTGGATTTTTTAAATGAAACCTCATTAATATATAGGTATATACTAGTGATGTTTCATCTTAATCATGGAAAAATGTGGATTTGGAATTACTTTAACTGAAAATTGGGGCTATCCAGAGAAAACCAGGATCCCTGCTAGTCAGCAAAGGCCAACCACATCGTCTCCTACACAGGACGCTCTTGTAGGAAACCCTTAATATCTCCAGCCTGATTAGACTCTTTGAGGGATAATCGGGGGGAAAAAAGAAACAAACTCCCATGTAGGAAGCAGATTCAGGCAAAAACTGAATTTTGTCTTTCAAACCTAGAAGGAAAAAAAGGGGGGAACAAATAAATATTGCTATATATGCTAAAAGATATTACTTTATTCAAGATACTTAATCCTACTTGATCACAGGCTGCAGTGATGGGTAGCCAAGCCCCTAGGCTGCCTGCTCCTCGGCCCCTCCCACAGCAACCTTGAGAAACAGGATCAATGAGCACTGAGCCCCAGCAAGGGCATGAGGGGCTACTGGCCCTTTAAGGCGGCCCGCCATGCTGCCCCTCCGTCAGAAAATGGCGGCTCCCAGGGGAGCTTCACCAGCGCCGGCCCTTCCCACGTGACCGCACAGCGAGCCCGCCGCGTCCTTAGGCCCGCCCCCCCCGAGCGCCCGCCGGGCTTCTATTGGCGGCGGGCTCCCGGCCGCGGGCGGTGATTGGTGGGCGTTGGCGCGAAGGGCGCGTGGCGCCGGAGTGGCACGCAGAGGGGGTCGGAAACAATAGAGCGGCGGCTGCACCGAGCCGGCAGCCCGAGCCCCGCACCCCAACATGGCGGACAAGGAAGGTACGTGCGGCCGGGAGTAGGGCCTGGTGCTGCGGCCGCGTGAAGGGCCTCCTCGGCCCCGCCAGAGCAGCAGTCCTTGGGGCTCCCTTCTCTTCCTGTGCGGCTCCTCTTGGGGAGCCTTCAAAGAGCTGTTTTCCCCCCTTTAATTAGCATATATTGCATATTTTTCTTTTAATTTGCATATTTGGCATCATTTGTCCTTCTGCATAGCAAAGTCCCCAGTTCTGGGGAGGGGGGACGACGACTGAAATGCTTCCCCAGGTCTGTGCGCGCAGGGAGGGGCATATGCTGTACCGCCTTTGGTAATGGGGCCCTGTCCTGGGCAGGTGGAGCTGCTGGGTGCCCCCGCGATCCCCGCCGTGCCTGGCAGCTCCCGGCGAGGGGGGATGCAGACTGGTGCACAGAGGGAGGGAAGGAAGGTGTGGTCACAGATTTGTAACCTGGCCGGTGACGAGTGGGTTTGTTTGGCAGATACGGCAAAGTGACGGTGGCCGCACGGGTAGGGTGATAACCGGATGCTTACGAAGCACTCATTGAAATGAACGCATTCTTTTTTTCCCCCTTGGCGATATGCAGCAGCCTTTGACGATGCGGTGGAGGAGCGGGTGATCAACGAGGAGTACAAGATCTGGAAGAAGAACACACCCTTCCTCTATGACCTGGTAATGACCCACGCGCTTGAGTGGCCCAGCTTGACTGCCCAGTGGCTTCCTGATGTAACGAGGTGAGTCGAGCCTCCCGGTTGTTCATGAAAATGGGACTGAAGGACACTTTCACTGTCACGTGTGGGAGGGAGTTGGTGCGGGGCTGTTGCCAGCCGTGGTCAGCTCTTTTATGCCATTGCTTTGGTCACAGTAGGTTGAGGACTGTGTTGTGCTGGCACCAGGCAGCACCTCTGCTTATCCTCTTTGATTCAGAAATAGCTGCTGACTGGCAGGAAATGTTTCAGGCTGTGTTCAACCTGTAATGAAGTGATGTTTTCTTCTTTACCCTCCATTGATGAAGTTGCAAAATGAACGTATGCAGCATTTTGATATTGTTCAAAACCCTTCTGTTGTGCTGCACAGCTGGCCTTTCCCCGGGTCCCTGGCATAATGCATTTTTCCACCTGTCACTTGCAGAAAATGCTAATATGCCTCAAGGCATTACTCATGGGAGTACTAGTGGGAGAGTCCTGCGGTGAGAAGAGGGCTTGTATTGTGGGGATATCAGATACATATTTCCTTGCTGCTATCTGTCTAGGGTTGGACTGGAGGAATTTTGTTTGGGATAGCTGCAAGGAAATATATATCTGTCTAGGGTTGTACTGGGGTAATTTTGTTTGGAAGATTTGACATTCGAGTAAGAGGGCATGGTCAGTGCTAAAAGATGCATTATAATTTTTATTTTATTTTTTTTATTTTTTGAGGCATAATTTCGAGGTCCAGGTTTGTTCCTGTGAGCCACCTATATCTAGTTAACTCCCTTTCATTTCCCCTCCTGTCGTATTTTGTTGTAGACCCGAAGGCAAAGATTTCAGTATTCACCGGCTAGTCCTGGGGACACACACTTCAGACGAGCAAAATCATCTTGTGATAGCCAGCGTGCAGCTGCCCAATGACGATGCACAGTTTGATGCTTCACATTATGATAGTGAGAAAGGAGGTAAGAGTCTCAGATGATCAGCAAGTGGAGTTCCAAACTCTTTTTTTCCCACTGGACATAATGGCTTTTTTCATTTGGAGTTAATAGATCATTAAATAATACGGAACTTTTGCCCTATGAAGTGATCAGGAGAGGTTACAACTTTTCCTCCTTTCTTCTTGAATCTGTGCACTGTACCCTAATTTTCCATATGCCATGCTGAATTAAACTTACTTTTTGCTTTTATAACATTTTGAAGAGGAGGGGTAGGATTTATTGGAAGATTGTGCAATAGAAATTATTTTAATTATTTTTCATTGTGACTGCATAAAGTATTCTTTATGGTGGTAGCTCTCATAATTTAATGAAGCTTTCTGCCATTCCTTAGAGGGTGTACAATTTCAAGTGTTCTTTTTAGCTTGAATTCTGCTGACTACTATATGTGCCAGCCTCTCCAGAATAAAAGGATGATTGTATTTTGCTCAGTTAAATGCCGTAATAGCATGGGACCTAAACCTAATATATCAGTAACCTTCCTAGGCAGCCAGCATTCCTACCTATTAGCCATATCTTATTCTAGTTGGGTTAATGATTTCTTCCATGTGACGCAACCTTTCCAGTTCAGTTGTCTGGTTTCCTTTTTTGCCAGGAGCCAAGGTTTTGCAATTGATACCTTGATCGTTGGACTTGCCAGTACTGCTTGTAAACAAGCTTCTGTCTAAAATACTTAATTTCAGGATTTCGGTTTCCCAGAAATAACAGATTTTAGTACCACTGCTTCTCTTCTTTTGTTGTTGTCTTTAATTACTTTTTGTTTTTTCAGAGTGAATATTAAAGTACGGTATTTGAATATGTTTTGCAATATTATTTGTGATCACAAGGCTGTAGATATCTCTTCCTTTTTATTCTGTTTATTTCCTGAAATCTGCTTGTGATCCTGAAAATAGGTTTAGTTTTGACTTGATTGTATATGATTAAAAGTGTGTGTGCGATAGAGAGAGATTCCTGTATAAACTGTGTAAGCTGGGGTCTCTCTCAGGACAGGTGCTGACAGATACTTGCTCTCCGATTCACCATACAAATGTTAAATAGAGCTTTGCCAAATCTGTTGAGGAATTTCAGTCATTTATCTGATCTTTTTTTTTATAACGGCCTTACGGCTACTTATTTTTCCGTACAAGGCAGTTTGCTCTATTGAACTGAATAGCAGATTGGAAGCCAGGTGCTTTTGACCTCATCCTGACAAGGCCACTTAACTGAGGCCTTGTCCAAATATCTAAGATGAGGAATAATGCTGTGGCCGTGAGCAATGCTGTCTTTCTACCTCAGTTTTCCCATGTTTTTAAAACTATTAGTTTTTATCTTTTCAAATACTTGATCAGCTATAATTTTTCTGGCTCCTAAGTTTTTGGCAAAGCATATTTTTTAAGACTCTGTCTTACAGGGGATGTAAACTTTGTTAACAT